CCAGTAGTTGCATAGACCTATGGTAGGTACTGACCAGTAATTGAATAAACCTTTGGTACTGACCAGTAGTTGAATAGACCTATGGTAGGTACTGACCAGTAATTGAATAAACCTATGGTAGATCTAACCAGTAGTTGAATAGACCTATGGTTGGTACTGACCAGTAGTTGAATAGACCTATGGTAGGTACTGACCAGTAATTGAATAGACCTATGGTAGATCTAACCAGTAGTTGAATAGACCTATGGTAGGTACTGACCAGTAGTTGAACAGACCTGTGGTGGGTACTGACCAGTAGTTGAATACAGGTGTGGTAGGTACTGACCAGTAGTTGAATAAAACTGCGGTAGGTACTGACTAGTAGTTGAATAAAGCTGTGGTAGGTACTGACTGGTAGTTGAATAGACCTATGGTTGGTACTGATCCATAGTTGAATAGATCTGTGGTAGGTACTGACCCATAGTTGAATAGATCTGTGGTAGGTACTGACCAGTAGTTGAATACAACTGTGGTAGGTACTGACTTGTAGTTGAATAGACATGTGGTAGATACTGACCCATAGTTGAATAGATCTGTGGTAGGTACTGACCTGTAGTTGAATAGACATGTGGTAGATACTGACCCATAGTTGAATAGATCTGTGGTAGGTACTGACCCATAGTTGAATAGACCTATGGTAGGTACTGACCAGTAGTTGAACACAACTGTTGCTAGGTTTCCCATCTTGGGTACTGGTGTAAAGTTTTCTTGTTAATTTTGTTATGTTTTTATGTGTGTGGTTTTTTTTTAGTACATAAAAATTCATTAAATTTTTAATTTTTCATTTGTATTAAACAATATTGATTCAATGAAAAGAGATGATGATTGTCAAGGTGTATTGTTTTAATAGATCCTTAAGTGATCTAACTGCAAAATAATATAAATTATCTTGATATTACAATTCATTTTTAGATTGCTATTATTCTGAAGTTTTATTTGTGGTTTGTTTAAAGATTTATTCTGTATGTATTACAGTGAGATTTTCCCCTATTTGGTCGTTGTAATTGGACTTGAGAATATGTGGGTGTTGACAAAATCTGTGGTTTCTACTCCTGTTCACTTAGATGTAAAAGTTCGAGTTGCGCAGGGTGAGAAAACTTTCCTTCCAATAGTTTTGTGAAAGAAGTATATATTGACAAAACTACAAGATGATGTGGTCTCTTTAAGAATTTGTGGTTTCAGTTTTGTTTTATAATAACCATGTACAAACAGATGTTTTAGAGCCAAAAAACTAATGGTTGCATAAATTATTGAGATTCAATATTTATGTTCAATGACTTGTTGTGTTACCTTCAGCTTTTATATTCACTTTCAAGTGTTTAAAGCAGTGAAACTTCTCTCTTTCCACACATAGCTGCATAAAACATACAGGGTTCACCTGATGGTCTACATTACATTCACTATCATTACATTATGATTTTTATTTTGTAGTTGAAAATTTTGTTATTTCAGGACTCAGTAAGGAAGGCTGGTTCATCACAAAGAATTTGTTGACAGAACTAACTGTTTTAACCTTTGCTTTCTTCACCTTTGTTCCAGCAATTCAGGTATTTATACAGTTATATGTACTTTTTAGATATGTTTTTTTTTTCATAACTGCTAATACTAAACTACAAACTTTGACCATACCTAAAATAAGACAGAAACTACGTAAATCTCTCTGGATTTGTAATCTTACTTTACCTTCCAAGAAGTTCTGCTTTTGTAAAGTGTTAAACATTTACCTGTACGTTTTTATTAGCTTACTTTTTTATCTTTTTAGGAATTCTGTTTGTTTGCAGTAATAGTAGACGTATACCTGTATGTTTTTATTAGCTTACTTTTTATCTTTTTAGGAATTCTGTTTGTTTGCAGTAATTGTTGACGTATACCTGTATGTTTTTATTAGCTTACTTTTTATCTTTTTTAGGAATTCTGTTTGTTTGCAGTAATTGTAAACGTATACCTGTATGTTTTTATTAGCTTACTTTTTTATCTTTTTAGGGGTTCTGTTTGTTTGCAGTAATTGTTGACGTATACCTGTGTGTTTTTATTAGCTTATTTTTTTATCTTTTTAGGAATTCTCTTTGTTTGCAGTAATTGTTGACGTATACCTGTGTGTTTTTATTAGCTTATTTTTTTTATCTTTTTAGGAATTCTGTTTGTTTGCAGTAATTGTAGACGTATATCTGTGTGTTTTTATTAGCTTACTTTTTTATTATTTTTTTGAATTTGTTTGTTTGCAGTAATTGTAGACGTATACCTGTATGTTTTTATTAGCTTACTTTTTTATCTTTTTAGGAATTCTGTTTGTTTGCAGTAATTGTTGACGTATACCTGTGTGTTTTTATTAGCTTACTTTTTTATTTTTTTTGGAATTTGTTTGTTTGCAGTAATTGTAGACGTATACATGTGTGTTTTTATTAGCTTACTTTTTTATCTTTTTAGGAATTCTGTTTGTTTGCAGTGGTTGGTGTGTTTTCTGACTTCTTCCTACAGATGGTTTTCTTTGCAACTGTGTTGTCTATTGATATTAGACGAATAGAGGTAAGAAAAGTTTAAGTACTTTGTTCAGCCGCTAACTATATAATTTGTATGTTGTGTATTTGTAACACATAGATTGAGTAAATTGTGTTCATTAACACGTATGTATACAACAAATATTTTTCCTACTGAAACAGCAGCAAGTTAACAGAGAACTCTAATAACTTACAGTATTGTAAAGAACATTTTGTCATTATAATTTATTTTGTTTGAAAAACAACCATCTCAAAACACCTGGATATTATATAAGGATTCCAGGTCGTCCTGTTATATAGTCACTAAGAAATTTCTGTTAGTGTTTTTCTAACAGTCAGTTGCCATATATTTCACAGTATATTCAACAATAATCCAGTTGTTACACATGAGAAAATAATGTAATGTAG